TCCAACCGAATAGAGATGGCCTCCAACCTAGTAGCAATGGCCTCCAACCTAATAGCAATGGCCTCCACCCTAATAGCGATGGCCTCCAACCTAATAGAGATGGCCTCCACCCTAGTAGCAATGGCCTCCAACCTAATAGCGATGGCCTCCAACCTAATAGAGATCACCTCCACCCTAGTAGCAATGACCTCCAACCTAATAGCGATGGCCTCCAACCTAATAGAAGTGGCCTCCACCCTAATACCTAATAGCTTCAGGGTCTCAATATCGCTCGTTGCTTTCCTGAAGATCCCCTTAGGCCGCGGCCCGCTGGGTCTTCCAGCGACCGCTTGGCCTGACCGCTGGCGGTGCACAAATCCAAAGCAAAAGACATCATTCAGAGGATACAGAGTTGCTTCTTGCTCCTAGTAGCGATGCCAGGAGCCCCTAGTAGCTAATTATTCTTAATGGTTCTTCCCGACATCCTGATCAGGACCATAAATTCCGATCAGGACCCACACTGCTCATCAGACTGCTTGCAAGCCACAGGCCACTCCCACCAGACCCCACCACTTGGTCCGCCTTCTTGACTCTGCGGAAGTCGGGCAAATCGGATTTGCGTGTGTCTCCGGACGAACCGGGCTTCTCCTGGCAAACCGGTTCTAAGGACAGAACAGCAAAGGGTTGGAGGCCATTGCTACTAGGTTGGAGGACAGAACAGCAAAGCATCACCACTGTTGGGAAGGAGACAGGAAGTTTGTGGAAGCCCTGGAGTCGTCTGAGGTATTGTTTTCAGTGAGGCATTCTCCATGTTTTCTTCAAAGGCTGGAAATCAAAACGGGTATCAGGGAGACCCCTGACCCCATGGGGTGCAATCTATGAAGACATATGAAGACATCAAAGAAAACCATAGGAGTATTGACGGGTCACAGTTTCTGTGGGGTCTCAGCACCTCCACTCTCAATGTGTCCACAAAAACCATTTCGCTCTCAGTCACCCCAAAGACACCAACAAACATCAACAGACCATCACCCCAAAAAACAGCAAACCAAACCAACATAAAGAATCTAGCAAGGGCATCGCTACTAGTAACAAAGGGCATGACTACTAGTAGCATTCTTGCTACTAGGAACAAGAAGTTACTAGTAACAAAGGGCATCGCTACTAGGAGCAAGGACGCCACTAGTAGCTCCTGGCCGTACTACTAGGAACAATGTTCGCTACAAACAGCTACTAGTACCTTTGACAACCAAAGAACGAAACCCATCCGATGCAACGGAACCACCCACCGATGCGCCGGACGCCTTCATCAAGCCGAAGGGGCCCACATCGCGGTAGTAGCCCAGCCTGGCACGAAAAGAACTCTCACAGCACTGTCCAACCGCGCCGCAAATTGCTTGGTCCAATTTCCGAAACGGAACTTGGATTCCACCTGTTTTCAAACCAGCCGGGATTGAACAAGACAAAGCCCCCAAGAATGGGCTCTCCTCACCCTTCGACCCTTTTTCGAAGCTCTCCGCGCCGGGGTTTGAGCACCGCTGAGCCTCGGACCCTTTCTTCCCGCGTTTGAAAACAAAGCCAGGGCGTTCGCTGAGCCACTTTTTGGAGGCTTCGAAGTCCTGCGATCCGTTTTCGACGAGCTCTTTGGCTGGAAGAGTCTGTTCTTGATGCAGGTGAGCAAGGCTGTTCTTGGCCATCTCTCAGAACTTTGTGGTTTTCTCCACCTTTGAATAGGAACAAAGGACGCTACTGGGGGCTCCTGGCCTCACTACTAGGAACAAGAAGCTACTAGGAGCTCCTGGCATACCTGTCATCTTTCTTCAATACAGACCAGTCGCCTAATGGGTACGGCGCTGCGATTCTCCGCCCGCTGGAAGTTCGACTTTCTGGTCCATATTTCATCGTGCTGGTGGTCACTTATGCTCGCTGCCGGCAAAGGGTTGAAACATGTTGAAACGTCGAAGTAATCCTTTTCAAAGTCTTGTAAGGCTACTTGAGGCGGTTTTCTGAGAAGCGTCGTGGGGTGTTGGTGGTACAAGGTTTCTTTGAGGGCGGTTGCTGTGTTCTTTGTTTGACCGGCTGGTTTTTACTATCGCTTCGATGACTTCTGAATTGCAGAAACGATAGGCATATATATATATATACACACCTTGGATGCACGCCCCCCCCGAGAATTTGATCAAATGACTAGAGCCGGAAAGGTCTTTTTGTGCAACACACCCTGTTTTAGCAGGGCATGTATAGTGGATTTTCGATCGGTGCAATCCCGAGCAAAGGACAACCCCCAAGTTCGGTGGTTTACATGCACCCCCATCTTTTGAAGCCATCCACAAGAGGGTGTTGTGCCATCTAGGAGAAAGGACGCTACTAGGGGCTCCTGGCCTTACTACCGGGAACAAGGATGCTACTCTGAAACCGCTCGGAACACAGACTGCGTGGCCCCGAAAGCTGGCATCAACCACATCGCCTCCTCATACTTGCAACTTATAACTTACAACGTCGTCCTGAAGGGAATTCAACCCGCTGGAGATTTCGGTCACATTCGATGCATTTGGTCCTGGGTGAATAACCCTCTTGTTGCTATTGCTACCGATGCTGAGCAGTACCAACTGTCACTAGTGCAGATTCCAACTCTCCGCACTGCCTTGGCGAAGGCATCACCATCCTCACCACGCAACCTCAGTAGTCCAAGCGGTCAGGCTGCAGGGATCTCAGTGCAAGAATCACTGCAAAAAAATACATCAAAGCAAATACATTTTGGTTGAGTTCTGGTGGTCCTTTCACAGTCCGCCTATTATTTTTGACATTTTTTTGACAATTTTCTGGATTGTTCTTCTATCTTTTGATCTAGTTTTTGGTTTTTGCAGTCCGTGAAGCTGGCTCCAAGTCGTGTTTTGGGGGGAGTCTTTGTCCAACGATTGAATTGGCCACTGGGTGCGAGAGATACGCACAGAGCAGGAAGGATGAGTCGAGCAGCGAAAAACGGAATTCACTATGTATCACTTTATGACCGAATTTCACTTCTGCACATTCCCAGGTTGGAGGCCATCGCGGAGGCCGCTAGTAGAACAATCGCCAGTTTCCCTAACAATCTTGGAACCAAAAGAATAGTGCGAGCGCTTCTTCAAGGAAGCTCTCCGGGGAACTTCCTTGAAGAAGCGTGAGCTCTCCTGCGTCTTAGGTAGTAGCGTACTAGTAGCTACAATAGCTTACTGGAGTGTCTAATGCCGGGGGAGGGAGCGGGTCTAATGCGAACCTTCAGACCTCACCATAGCTCACGGGAGTTGTGACGGGAATTCTTGGACTTCCCAGTCGTTCAAGGGATCGAGTTGGACCATCCTGCACCATTTACAGGACTTTGTATAGGCCGCGGAATCATGAATAGAAGAGTTGAATAGTTGGATGTGCACACCACATGTTCACACCATGCACATCCCTAGACCTTCATAATGTCATGCGTTTGCGACTTAGATCAATTGCATGTAAGCCCATTGGCATTCATGATTCATTGGACCTATGTGTGTTGGCCATATTCCCCAGACACAAATGATTCTCAGTCCCTAGCAACTAAGGGCTCTTCCAACATGGTAGGGTGATATTTCTTGCGTTTTTTTTGCAAGACAAAACATGTCCATCAAGGCTACTAGTAACAAGAAGCTGGGGGCTTGTGGCCTTACTACTAGGAGCGTTCGGACGCTAGAAGAGAAAAGAAAAGGCAATGTTTCTTTATATATATATTATATATAGCTTCTAATAGCTTCTTGTTCCTACTAGTAAGGCACCTGTTACTAGTAGCGTGGCACTTGTTCCTAGTAGCGAAAAGACCCGCCCGAGCAGCTTTCGCATCTCGGCGATGAAGGCTGCGTGGAAGTCCTGGCGTCGGAACTCGAGCGATGGCCTCCAGTTCCTGTGTTCGAACCTATGCGTGAACATCCACTTTTCCATGTCTCCGAACAAACTGAACTCTGGGTGAAGGAATGGATGAACTTCAACTTCACGAAAAACCTCCAAGTCAGTTGCAAGGATCATGGAATTGCTCTGTGTTCTTTGGAGGACAACGGTCCCTTCCTCAAATCCTTGTGGTGAGTTTTGACCCTGGCTGTGGCCTGTTCGGGGGCAGGAACACTTGTTCATAGACCACCATGATTCGCATCTCCTGGTGCCCCAATAGATAGAGAAATGGACTTCAAACATGTATAGGGTGATGGTGGCATAACAAAAACACGCCACGCCACGCAGAAATTTGCTTCGGATGTGGCACGATAGGGAAGACGCTACTAGGGGCTCCTGGCCTTGCTACTAGTAGCATTCTTACTATTAGTAACAAGACCAGGGAAGACCACAATAACCACATGGTGGTGTGAAACGTGATCTATGTGGCGGAGAGCAGTCTCCAGTGTTTATGAGACAGATTCAGAAACCGTCTCAATGCCAGGATATGTGGACCGTGACAATAGAACACAGGAACACTCAACCAGCGGTTCAATGGCTGTAATAAGATCTTGAGAAGGCTTCCTTACCAACTGGCAATTGTTTTTGCGGTGACCATTGCAGCTGTGCCTCATCATCATCATCAGCAGCTGGGGGGCTCTCGGCAGGAGAAGCCTCAAGGACACGGTATGATTCGCAGCAGGTCTCCGCTCCCCCAAAAAAGAGAGCTGCGGGACCCACAATGGAAAGCCTTCAGTAAGGAGCTGAGGCTGCTAGAGGCCACTTGGATGACCATTGTCCTTTATACAAAAAAAGTGGTTTTCCACCTCCATGATTATTTCAAGTGAACACCTTCTCCAACCTAATAGCCACGGCCTCCATTGGTGTCAGTGTTTCCTGGGTTCTTTTGAATGTCTTTCACATAGTGCCGATGCATCACCTGCTCCTTGCTGGTCCCATGTGGCGTCTGACGTTGAAAAAGCAAAAGAGCGGTGTCTTCCCGGAGGGTCATACTGGCTACTAGCCAGTACCTAGCTTCTGCAGCGACATCTTTTTCTTCAAAACCATCCGACTGATACTTTAGAAAGGCCTGCAATGTGCGCCCTTCACAATTGATTGATGTGTCTGCACCTGACCTGAATTTACATCAAGCAAATGATTAGAACGTCATTGCTTGATCAAGTGACCCAAGCCGCAAATCAAATGGAGCAATTACACATGGAGCAGTTGGTAGCCCGGCAGCTTCACAGCCGCGGGGGACTGCAGGATCGCCAAAGAGCTTTGCATCCAGTTGCTGAGTCAGCTTCAAAACACACACGTGCAAAATGTGCGAAGTGCTGTCGAACCAGGTCAGCTTCCACTTTGCTCCAGGGTGCCACTTGCACTCTCTTCCTAATTCACGTTCCTTCCTTCCTAAGTGTTAGCGAGTCTGTCACAATCTGGAAGGTTCGAATCCCAGTCGCTGCCTGCGTGTGCTTTCCGATAGATCTTTTGAAATCACACCAACACAACAGCGTGACAATGGTTCGGCCTGTGCTCCAAGCGAAAACGGAATTTTTGTTCGCTTTGAGGTCGTAGTGGACCAAACGCTTTCCACCGATGGTCGTAGATGGAACGATGTGGGTCTGACCAGGATAACCCGAACTTTAGCTGGCTATACAAACAGTCATCCATTTTTCACTCCCAATGGGTGCATTTGCCGAAGCGAACCACCAAACCAGAGCGGGTTTTGGAGTCTGCAAAGTAGGATATTTTGGGGAAGGGATATCCTAAGTCTATGAAGCATACTTGCTACTAGTAACAAGAAGCTACTAGGGGCTCTTGGCATCGCTACTAGGAGCAAGGACGCTACTAGGAACTTTTTCACTCCAAATGGGTTGCAAGGCTTGGAAGGTGCATCTACCTTGTGGTGTGCCAGTCTCTTGATTTCTACACAGTGGAGGATCCAAGTGACATGACCCACAGCCGGCCTTCACTGAGTTGTGGTCAAAACCGAACAATGCGTTGCTGAAAAACATGGACTCATAGTCGTGGATTCACCTCACAAGCCCAGCCCGAAATATCAGTTGGACTTGCTCCCAACGTCTTTTTCTTTTCAGAGCTTCGAAACGGTCATTCGCCACCCCAATCGATCCCTCTGAATCTGAGACCACCCGACAGCAGCGACAGCAGGTCCAGGAGCGGCAGAACCTGAGCCAAAGGAGTGGAACACCAGGGGAAAGGGTCGATGAGAATCAGGAGCAAGGGACGCTACTAGGGGCTCCTGGCCTCGCTACTAGGAGC